CCACCTTACCTGCGGCCCCGCCACCTTACCTGCGGCCCCACTGCCCTTACTTGCGGCCCCACCACCTTACCTGCGGCCCCGCCAACTTACCTTCGGCCCCGCCGCCCTTCGCTGCGGCCCCGCCACCTTACATGCGGCCCCGCCACCTTACCTGCGGCCCCGCCGCCCTTCGCTGCGGCCCCGCCACCTTACCTGCGGCCCCGCCGCCCTTACCTGCGGCCCCGCCGCCTGCTGCAGCGCCGCCCGCCACCCGAGCTGCCCCAGCCGCCATACCCAGCCGAGCAGCCGACCACCGCGCCGCCCTGCAGCCGAACCGCCGAGCAGCCCAGCCGCCCAGCAGCCCAGCAGCCGAGCTGCAGAGCCACCCAGCCGCCGAGCCGCCCAGAAGCCGAACCGCTCAGCAGCCGAGCCGCCCAGCAGCCGAGCCGCCCAGCAGCCGAGCCGCCCAGCAACCAAGCCGCCCGCACCGCCGAGTCGCTCAAGCAGCCCTCTCCGGTAAGAGCAGCGCCTCTTTCTCCGCACTGCCCTTACCCTACTGTTTGCGCTGCTAGTCTACTGCTGTCATGGCTACCCCTAGTGTCCTCGCTTTTGACGCTGAGGGTAGGGCCATTGACTTTGACGTCTGGATAGATGACCTGCAGCTTTTCTTACAGTGCGATAGGGAAGACGGACTCTCTCTCTTTGACCTCACCTCTGGTGCCTCTCCTGCCCCTGCTGCAGATGCTGACGCCACTGTTTGCTCACAGTGGGCCACGCACGATGCTGCTGCACGTCTTGCTGTGCGTTGCCACCTTCCTACCTCTGAGCGTGCGCACTTTAGCCAGTATAAGAGTGCTCAGACCTTGTACGACGCTATAGCTGCACGCTACTCCTCCCCTGCCACTGCTGCACTGAGCCGCCTTATGCTACCGTACCTCTTCCCTGACCTTGCTGCCTTTCCCACAGTCGCTGACCTCATTACGCACCTCCGCACTAGTGAGAATCGCTACCGCGCTCCGCTTCCTGCTGATCTCTGCGCCAAGAACCCCCCCCCCCAATGTACATCACTCTCTACTACATAGTCACCCGCCTCCCTGACTCCCTTCGCGTAGTCAGGGACCACTTTCTCTCAGTCTGTCCCACCACTCTCACTGTTGACCTCCTCGAGATGGCCCTCCTAGCAGCGGAGAAGAGCATAGTCGCTGTAGGGGCCTCTCGTGGTGACCCGCGCACCCCCATCTTTGAGGGGTGTTCCCCCTCCCCTCTTTTGCCCTCTGTTGCCTCTGCTGCTACGGCCGACCTCGTTGGTTTGGAGTTGGTCAGTGCGGCGTCTACACCTAGTGGTAAGCGTCGCTCTGGCAAGGGCAAGGGGGGCAGGGGCACTGGAGGAGCTAGCGGCGGCGGCGGAGGTGGAGGTGGGGGCGGGGGGGGAGTGGGGGTGGCGGTATGGGTGGAGGTAAGGGAGGAGGTGTCGGCGGTGGCAGTGGAGGCGGAGGCGGCAGCGGCGGTGGCGGTGGGAGCGGAGGTGGCGGAGGTGGTGGAGGTGGAGGAGGTGGAGCAGGTCGGGGTGGCGCTGCGCAGAGGGTCGGCTCTGGCAGTGGTTAGCGCCAGCAGCAGCAGCAGCAGCGCGCTCGTGACACCCCCTCCCCTCAGCAGCTCCGTGAGTGGTACACTGCTCGCCAGCGGGGTGGGGGTACTGGTTCTGTCCCTGCTGTGACTGGAGTCGCCGCGCGGCCTCGGTCGTACTTCGTTCCGCTCCTTCAGCAGGTTCTTGGTCTCCCGCCTTCTACTGGTCCTCCTCCTCCCTTGAGTGTCCACAGCTTGACCCGTCACAACTACAGTTACAGCCGACCTCCCCACTGCCTGCTCCGTCTCCCTACACAGGTCCTACTGGAGGTCTTGCTGAGCGTCGTGAGCCTGCGTCTTGCCCTGCGTCGCCTGTCCGTGCTGCTCGCACTAGTGGTCGCGGTTCGCGTCGGCGTCCTCCTCCTGTCCCTGGCACGCACCGGATGTCTCTGCGTCCGTCCACTGCTCCTCTGCGTGCCCCTTTACCTTCTCCTCCTGAGTCCTCTCTTCCTGCTCTTGCCGACCCTGAGTCGGACTCTCTTCGTACTGCCAGTCCAACTGTCACGCGTCTCCTTGCTACTGTCGTCACTGACCCTTCTTTTGAGTCAACTGCTGCGTCTGCCCTAGTTGCTGAGCTCGTCGACTTTGCTGCTCGCTGTCGTCTCGACTACGCTGCTAGTCTTGTCGCTCAGTCTGAGTCTGTCTGTCCTCCATCCGTCGGGGGTGAGTGTGCCCTTGGCACGGACGTCCTTGAGGACAGGCAGGAGGAGTTCCAGTGTCTGGCTGCTGCTTCACCTCATCTCGTGTCCGTACTGCTTACCCCTGAGGGAGACCCGGATGCACTTGACATCCCGAATCCGCGCTCTTACGCGGAGGCGATAGAGGGTCCCTACTCCTCTCATTGGCAGGTAGTTTTGGATATAGAGATGGCTTCCTAGAAGTCCACAGGCACCTACGTTGACGAGGTTCCCCCACCTGGGGCGAACATCGTCAGTGGCATGTGGATTTTCAGGGTGAAGCGGCCGCCGGGTTCCCCGCCTGTCTTCAAGGCGTAGTACGTGGCTCGTGGCTTCAGACACCGGCAGGGAGTTGACTACTTTCAGACCTTCTCTCCCACCCCGAAGATGACCACTCTTCGGGTGCTGCTGCACATAGCCGCTCAGCGCGACTACGAGCTTCACTCTCTTGACTTCAGCACTGCTTTCTTGCAGGGCAGCCTGCACGAGGAGATCTGGCTGCGTCGCCCACCTGGCTTCACTGGGACTTTTCCTCCTGGCATCCAGTGGCGCCTCCGGCGGACAGTCTACGGTCTCCGCCAGGCACCGGGTGAGTGGCACGACACATTGAGGACTACGCTTGCGGCTCTTGGGTTTGCTCCCTCTACTGCCAACCCGTCGCTGTTTCTGCGCACCGACACTTCTTTGCCGCCATTCTACATCCTCGTGTACGTCGACGACTTGGTCTTTGCCACAGCTGACACTGCAGGACTCCATCCCCTTCTCCCAGATTCCATCCCCTTCTCCCAGATTCCATCCTCTTTTCCCAGATTCCATCCCCTTCTCCCTCATTCCATCCCCTTCTCCCAGATTCCATCCCCTTCTCCCAGATTCCATCCCCTTCTCCGAGATTCCATCCCCTTCTCCCAGATTCCATCCCCTTCTCCCTCATAACATCCTCTTCTCCAAGATTTCATCCCCTTCTCCCCGATTCCATCCCCCAGATTCCATCCCCTTCTCCCAGATTCCATCCCCTTCTCCTAGCTTCCATCCCCTTCTCCCAGATTCCATCCCCTTCTCCCAGATTCCATCCTCTTCTCTCGACTAGGACAAAAACCATGGCTCCTTCAATCTGCCTAGGCGAATGGCACCTTCCTGAGCCACTGTACGGTGAAAAGTAACGGCGGCGCGTACCGGCGGATGTCACAGATAGCACCGTCCCGTCGCATGATGGGAAGTAGTGGTGGCGTATACTGGCGAATATAATTAGATAGCACCGTCCTGTCGCATGAGGGGAAGTAACGGCAGTGCCTGTAGTCGGATTACCGGTGCGACGGCGGGATACCTAATAGATCCGCCATTTGTGTTGTTTCCGCACCACTCCGCTACTGTACCCCGTTATTGCTAAAGCCAGCAACTAATTCGGTCTGTGGTATCGATTCCGTTTGTCACGATTCGCGAAAGATCCAAGCTAAACAGCAAGAATGACTTTCCACCCACCACTCTAGCTGATAGTAGCTAGTCTAAGATCGCCTTCCTGGGGTGTCCGGACATTGAAGTGGGGACAGCGAAAAGTGCATTCCGCGCGTGCAAGAGATTGGGTAGGATGATGAGGTGGAGGGGGAACGAATCTGGACGTCGCAATTGTTCAGAGGTCCCCAACGTGCGAACACCCCTCATGATCGGACGGTTGGGCTTGACCAACTAGATTTGAGATGCGATCACAGATCGTAGATGGAGTCGTGCAGGAAATTTTGATCGCACATTGGAGAGTAGGTGAGAACGTGAAAGCAGCGTAGAAGCAACGTGAAATCTGCCACGCTGGACCCAGATAATTGTACTTTTGGGGGCTGTCCTGTCCCAAGTTCGCAGGAAGGAGATCTAATATCCACCTAGCTGCCACTCCCATAACTGACAGGAGCAATCTGGAGATAGTTATTTCTCTAAGGAAAAAAGCCCCCAAGTCTGCGAATTTCGCACACCTCGTAACCCAGAACGAACATCGATGAAACGGGTTTGAGATGTCACGACGGAAGTGTGCGGGAGAGGAGGGAGCCGTGAGATCTGACGATGCGAGCAGAACTGAGCGCTACGCGAAAAAACGGCAGTTGTCGTGGTGTCGCAACTAGGCACCACTGTGTCAAATAATGTTTATATATTTTGTTAGTTTCCATAGTGAGATGCTTAGTATTCTGTTGAAGTGACTTTGGTAGAATGATTTCCTTGCAGCCATGGCCATGGCGGAGAGCTTTAACTCGGCCAATGTCCATCAATTTCGAGCCTGATGGTGACATTGATTGTCTCAGACGATGCGCGGCTTTAAGATCTACACAACGGTGTCTCTTTAGTGTTCATAACGGGAACCTATACACCTGTTGTGTATGCTCCAGGCTATCGTCCAGGCAATTTTTAACTTCAAATCAGCCTCAGGTTTCATCATGTGGACTGCAGCAGCTATCAAGGCTACTCCATGGTTGCCACCTGTATATGGCGTCATCAACGTTTCCGTCATCTCGCAGAACAACCAACGCACGCATTTCTCAAAGTTCCAGTTTCAAAGGAGCAAACAGCTATCAAGGCATGGAGATCTACGCCAGGACCCTGGCCTTATCGCGTGGCCTGGATCTGCAGAGGTTCGCGTTCAAACACAAGAAATATAAGCACGGCGTGGTGAATGTGCTCAGTCAGGCTTGTTTATCAGCCAAGCACGGGCTGTCAAGTCAGTTTCATCATCGCACCATGGGTAACGGGCGTAAGGGCAACAAAGCAAAGAAGGGTGTTGACATGGCTCAGGAGACAGACGTACCTGCCTTACCTCTGAAGGAGACTGCTGCTACCGGAAAGCCTCCATTGTGTCCCGCTCCAGCGACATTGGCAGGTCCCTTCGAAGCCTTCCATGAGCAGCAGGGAGCTGTTGATCAGGACGATGATGCTACCAGGGAATGTACTGGCGACGGAAAACGACTCGCTGAGGGAGATGCGCGTGATGAGGGTGATGCTACGGACACTGCTGATGATGACGCGCAATCAACAGGGACCCCTGCGGATGACGACGACGACGGTTACCTGAGTGACGACAGCGATGATCACCTAGAACCAGACTCTCTTAACAGCATTATTGCTCTGAAGCGCTTCTCACTAACCCTGTTGGTGCCGATTGCCAGGAAAGCGGAGGTTAAGCGCGCGGCTTTCACAGTTGCTGCCATGCTGGATGAATGGAAGGATTTATTATCACCAGACGCGCTGCTGACCACAACTTACCAGGACCTCGCTCCGATGTTTCTCTCTGGAGAGCGCTACGGACGCCTGCAGGTTACATTCAATCACGTCAAGGACGCGAACTTCGTGTAGAACCAGATCATTCGTCATGAATGCGTCAACGGCGATTTCGTTGACTTCACCTGACAGCACCCAGAGGACGCGCGTTTCCAGCGTGAGCGCGTACTGAACCCCACGGCGAAGGAGATCATAATCAAAGGAGTACCTGCGGAAACGTCGGCAGAACTGATCCGTCGTCTGCTGGTGGTGTCAAAGCTGGTGAAGCGTGGCAGGAGCACGTTTGCCAGTGGTTTCGGTTTTCACCGGACAGTCGACCCTGTGTCAGGCTTGGACACGGATCGCATCCGTGGATTGTTCGTCCCCCATGCTGACGACGAGTACCGCTGGCGCACCTTTGTGGAAGATCCCACCACAGGGAAACGGTACCTGCTTCACTACCCGTCGCTGACCTGTGACTTCTGTGGTGGTCAGCACATGACTCGCTATCACGACCGCTATGTCACCCCGAGACAAGACCATTTCAACAACTGGAATGTGACGGTTAAGAAGGTTCACCAGATGAATGGTACAAGCAGAGAGAAGTTATACCGGCCTCCGAAGCCCGCTTTCCCGCTCGTCTTTCACTTCTTACCGCGTACTGACGATTGTCTGCTCCTCTCCCCCCGCAGCTGCGTCCCTGAAAGCTTCAGATCTCCTGAAGCGTATCATGCGAGACCCTGCGATCATCCTCACTTCCACTGGAGGCACACGGGAGGAATGGGTCTGCGTCCAGGCAGGATGCGAGAAGGCGCAGGGGATCCATTTCGAGCAGGCTTCGTCTCACATTGTATCCGCTCGTCACAAGGAGGGTTTGCGGAAGGAGAGTTCAGCAACACGTGTCGGCACGTTCCCTCAGAAGATGATATCCTTCAAGAAGGAGTTCCTGACAAAGCCAAAGAAGTAGTGCGTGTTAGCAGGATCACAGCAGCTGTACGCATCGGCAGAGGAATAAGAGAGGTAGCTGGAACCAACGGCTTACCTGCTCCAGTAGCATTGTGTACCTTTATAGCCCGTGGATGCGAAGGGGCTTCACAGTTGTTGATTAATGGATAAAGCCCACAAAGTTGTTTTGTGCGAGTTCAACATCAACGGACTCGGCGGGGTAGAGAAACAGAGGAAATGCAAGGAATGGATGAGAGAGAAGACGGATGTGGCCATAATCACTGACACGAGGTTGCAGGCTGACCACAATTTCTGGACTGATATAACACCAAGTGCTACTGCAGTGTGTGGACAAAACCCTGGTGAATCGGCGGGGGGGGTTGCTATAGTGAGCTTCGTACCTGGGCTGGTCTTCGCGACCAGTTTCACCCATGACTCTGGCAGGCTCCTGGCGGTGGTCGTTCGCTGGGGTGGCCTGGAGTTCCTGCTGATAGCAGCATACATCCCGGCTCAGGCGGTGAACAGGAGTAGTTTCTACAGAGACAGCCTGGAGCCGTTTCTGCAATCCCTGCCGGTGTTCCACCACATTCTGGTGATGGGTGACCTCAATGTGGTCAAGGATCCGGACCTGGATCGCACCTCACAGGCTGGCTCCTCGGCAGAGAATCACCGCCTCTTGAGCTGCTGGAGGAATACGGACCTGCGGGATGCTTTCAGACATATCCACCTGGACAAAAGGGAATACACCTTCTTTGCAAGAGCAACGAGGTCCAGCTCAAGGATAGACAGGGCACTAATCTCACAACCACTGCTGAGCAAGCTGGTAGAGGCGAGGCATGTGGCGATTACCAACGGAATGACTGATCACTGGAGCGGGATAGGGGTGGTGCTGGAGTCGGCGGAGGCTGTGAAAAACGGGCCGGGCATCTGGAGGTTACGGGCAGATCATACACAGAAGCAAGGAGTACAGAAAATCATCAAAAAAATCATCGAGGAATCAGCAGGAGCATCAGTTGACGAGCTGCTGGAGAGACTAACCACATGCTTGAAGGCATACTCGAGGGAAGAAAGGAAACGAGAGAAGGCCACGCAACTCCATCTCATCAGGGAGGTGGAACGGTTAAGGTTGCGTGTGTCCAGATACCCGCACTGCCAACGAACGGGGAGGACTCTACTTCGGAAAGAGGAGCTGCTGGAGGCATATGAGAGGAGCCATAAAGAACAGTTGCAGTTATGGGCAGGCATCGAAGCGGAGATGGACGGGGAGGTGGCGTCGGGCACTCTATCGGCGCAAATCAAGACTCGCAAGGCAAAAACAACAATTCGGGAGGTAGCGCGGAACGGGAGCCTGTTCTCGGGGGTGAAGGAGGTTCTCTCGGCGGCGACATCTCACTTTCGTGATGCCTTTGGGTGTGTCAGCAGCAGCGCGGTACCTGCCACGGAAGATCATCCCATGCAACAGCGATTGGGGGAAGCAAGTAGAAGAGCGCTGAGTGCACCCTGGACGGAGGACGAGGTTCGGAAAGCAATACGGGAACTTGCCCCAAGGAAATCACCGGGCGCTGACGGGCTGCCTAAAGAGCTCTTCGATTACAACTGGGGGCTGCTGGGACCAGTGCTGATGGACCTGGTGAGGAGTTTCACGGGCGGAGAGGCGTTGCCGCACACGGTCTCAACAGCTGTGACCATCCTGCTGCATAAGAAGGGGGATAAAGGCGACCTGGGGAACTATCGGCCAATAACGCTCCTTAGTACGGTTTACAAAATCATAGCAAAGGTGATGGCGAGCCGGCTCAAGGTGGTGTTGCACGAGGTCATCTCGGAGGACCAATACGGGTTCCTACCTGGTAGGCAGCTGGCGGACACGGTGTCGGTGGTCGCGGATGCTATAGAAGCAGGAGCGAATGGGAAAGAGGACTGGTACCTGATGATGATTGATTTTCAAAAGGCTTTTGACTCAATCTCGCGGGACTACCTCTTTGGCACGTTGCGGAAGCTGGGTTTGCCAGAGGTTTTCGTATCCTGGACAGAGGGGCTGCACAAAGACGCGGGGACGTGCCTGCACATCAATGGCTGGACAGGAGACAGGGTGGCGGTGGAGAAGGGAGTGCGCCAAGGCTGCCCGCTGGCGCCGTACCTCTTCCTCTGTGCAGTAGAGCCGCTGTGCCAAGAGTTTAATCGGAAAAAGCTGGGAATCGGGAAGCGAGGTGTGGGCACGCTAGCATACCTGGGTTACGCTGATGATACATCACTGTTACTGCGCGGAGCAGAGCAGCTCAAAGCAACGGCGGATGTTCTGACAGTCTTCGGAAGAGAGTCAGGGCTGGTGGTGAACGAGGGGAAAACGGTAGTCTTCCCGCTGGGGAAAAACCGTGGGAAGCCGCCACCGCACAACCTGCGTTACAAATGGGCGGACAAGGAGGAGCCGGAGCGACTGTTGGGGATCTGGATCACGCCGAATGGTGACCCAACTCCATCCTGGAACAAAGCATTGGGCAGGGCGAAGGGAGAGTTAGCAAAGTGGGAGATGCAACACCCGACGACATCGGTGAGAGTGACGATAATCAACAGCTACATCACTCCGATTTTTCTTTTCCAGGCACAAATATACCTGCCGCCGGAGGCCATCTGGAAGAAGATTCGCAAGATCTGCCACACCTTCGTCTCGAAGGGAGAAGCAGCGGAGGAGAAACGCTTCATCCTCTGGAACTATCAACTGGTCTGCACACCGCGGAAGGGCGGGGGGCTGGGTCTGATTTGCCTCGAGCAGAGGGTCAACAGCATCTCCATTCGGAACGTCTGCCGTCTGATGCTGCGGCCGAGCTCCGTCAAGAAGTGGCTGGCGGAGAGGGCGGCGGAGATGCCCCCGGGGCTGGACACAATCTTCGCGCACAAATCGCTGCTAGACCACTGGGAAAAGGGGAGCGCACGCTGGAAGGAGTTAATCGTGAAATTTTGGGATTCACCGCTGTACAAGACACGTGTCCCGACGAACCGTTGGGAGGTAGAGCAGGAGCACCTGGCTTTCAACCCGAACATCCCTTACAGAGGCGCAAGTCCTTTCGGGAACCAGAAAGGAACGGAGGCGCTGCTGGGCTTACGTATGGGGGACCTGATCGTCAAATCACGGGATGGAACATGCGAACTCAAAAAGCTGGAGGCACTGGCAAGAGAGCTGGGGAACAAGGAGAAGGCGAAATGGGCGTTGAGGGCTTTTCAAGCTGCGCCCCCGGGCTGGAGGGATATAATACTCACAAAGCTGACGAGCGAAGAGGTGGTGGCCACGGTGAAGCTACTGCGTTCGCACAACGCCGGGACTGAGAACTTCACTTACTGGAAGGTCGAGGGAGCAAAGGATGATAAGGTGGTGGGAATCCTGTGCGACGTGGGAAGCGGTGGATATTTCACGCCCTACGTAGGCAACCTCACGGTGGACTTTGGGCTACGCAGCGGGGTGCCGATGTACACGGAGGGCCATAATTTTCTGGGGCCCATGGGTGACGTACGAACGAAGCTGCTGCTCTCGCAAGCATGTGAAGGGGGAGAATTAATCTCGCTGCGACGGATAAGGATGGTGCTGGCGAGCGCAGCTGTACCACATGAGGATCAGAGGAGGTGGGAAGGGCAAAGGAGGGAAATTGAGTGGGTCAGAGTCATAAGGCAGAGGGACTCCCTTGCCACCCCACGACGGGCACGTGAGATCCTGCTACGGCTCCACTGTAGAAATCTGCAAGTGGGCTCGAGACTTTTCTTCATGGGGGTGGTCTGCCCGCACTGCCGAGGGGAAGAAACCCCGGACCACTGCCTTCTCAGGTGCCCTGCAGTACAGGGGGTGATGGACGTACTCAGACGAGGGTTGGAGGTGATGCACCCGAACCTAGCGTGGCTGGATCTTGAAGACCTGCTTTTCGCGCAGAGAAACACGTTGTCGAGTTTTCCGGAAGGGACGTGGATCGCAATCTTCCTGCACCAGGTGTGGCTAGCAAGGTGCAATGCAGCGTGGAGAAACGAGGTTTTTCAGGCCGGGAAAGTGGCTCGGCAGGCGATGATAAGGTTCACCGCTCACGTCAGGATGTACTGCTTGGCGCGCGAGGCGACAGCGCGGAAGAAGGGACAGTTTTCGTATGATGTGTGGGCGCACCTGGCAGATGACGAAGCGGTGGTGATGCGACGCATCTGCAGCAGCGGTGTACCGCTGACGTGGAGGGTCGAATTCAGCACAATCTGGAACAATCCCAGAATGACGCACCAGCCACCATAGCTGTCTCAGAGGAGATCTGCGATACTAGCTATTGTAGCGCTCTCCTCCCCATAACAGTTACGACTGTCGATGTCTATACATTCCTGTAATGTATTTGATATCAAAAAAAAAAAAAAAAGTATAGGGTACACATTTTCCCTACTAGTCATGAATCACTTCAGCTTACAAAACCAATTCCTGTCTGTAACAGTAGATTTCTACGTACACTCTAGATTGCATGAAACACAACCAGGTTTGAGGAAACCAATGCCACCATTAAAAAAGACCACGACGTCCAATCTTGCCTGCGGAAAACACCTTAACGCACTTGTACCCCTTACAGCTTCGGACAAACGAAATGCAAATCTGGCCGTTGGGGCAAACCTTCCTCAATAAGCAGGGGGGCTTCTTTTTGTCCTTGTTGTCACACACCCACGGGCACATGCGCAGTTTCTTGACGGCGCAACCAGAAGGCGCAGGAGGAGGGGGAGGGCCAGGAGGAGTGGCAGCTGTAACATGAAAAGTGTAAAACACGAGGGAAAAATATGGGAGGGGGACAAACAGCTTGGTTAAATAAAGAAGAGGGGTGTGGGGGAGAGGAGGGGAGGGGGGGAAGGGGGGGGTGTGGGGGGAGGGGGAGGGGGTATCAAAACCAGATGTAGATACGAAATGCAGACAGTCATAGAGATGGGAAAGGAGCAGGGAGAGCAGAGAGAAGAAGGCACATCCGCAGGTATCACAGGAGCGGGGAGGGCAGATAGGAGGCGATTCCTCGAGGAATCTATAATTTGGAGGCCCGTACACTATGTTTGAACAACGCAACAATTCAGTAAATGGTTTTTATCTATATATATTCGAACATAGAATGAGGCCTGAACATACCCATGAGGCACACGTACAGCAATACGAGAAGGGTAATACCAGAGGGGAGGTTACTACCAGAGGGTTAAACAAGATGTTTAAACAGTACACACGATGAGGAGGAATAAAGAAACGGATCTGGATACGGAAAGGAGCTGCAGAGACCCCTAAAAGATACGGAAAGGAGCTGCAGAGACCCCTAAAAGATACGGAAAGGAGCTGCAGAGACCCCTAAAAGATACGGAAAGGAGCTGCAGAGACCCCTAAAAGATACGGAAAGGAGCTGCAGAGACCCCTAAAAGATACGGAAAGGAGCTGCAGAGACCCCTATAAGACACAGAAAGTATTCCGCGCAAAATCACCTTCTGTGCGGGAGAGCCTTAGACAGGAGAGGAGAGGCCAGAAAGGTGAGACTTTGGAGGGAGAAAGAAAGGAGAACGTGTGCAAGATAGATTCCAGTATCAAAAAGGCGATAGTCCCAGTAAAACTCCTTCAACTCTTGCACAAAACGTGCAAGATATCGCCTGCGATACTCCTGATAAACCTCTTTCAACTCTTGCACAAGCGATGGTCTGCCTGACTACTGAAAGCGAGAATCGGCTCGAAGGCACGCCGCCCCAAACTCTTATGTCCTAGCATTATATTTTGCGGGCCTGGACCAATGTTGGACCGGATTAGAATCTTACAATTTTGCCGATGCACACGACTCACCTGCAGGCGCGACGATGCAGACAAGAAGAAGAGTAACGGCAGCAGCAAGAATCATTTGGTCCTTTATAGTAGAGGAAGCCATTTTGTCTCCTGACTCGCAGATTCGGCGAGCGCCAATCGCCGATCGCCGATCCTCGCCGGTCGCCGAGACTGCGGGACGATTTCAGCGATCTCGCGTCGAGGATCTCGACGATCTTCAGGCTGAAGCGACAGATCGGGCGACGTGGGGCACGCTACTAGTAGTCTTTCGCCTTCGGAAAGTAATGACTTAAGTTGTAGCAAGCAGGCGTGACAAAGGAGAAAGACTACTACTAGCGTACCACGGTGGTACGGCTAGATCTATTGTCGCAACAGCACAGATTTGATCGCTACTACTAGCTGTAGAAACCCTTGCAATTGTGGAGCTTAATAGCGTGCCGTGCCGCAGCATGTTGGCAGCGCAAGTCTTTGCGGAGCAGCGCAAATCCTTGCGGAGCAGCGCAAAGCCTTGCGGAGAAGCGCAAATCATTGCGGAGAAGCGCAAAGCCCTGTGGAGAAGCGCGGCAAGCCTTGCGGAGCATCGTCTTGGCAGTGAGTGCCAGGTGGTGACTTCGCCGGCCGACGAACACACGTACTAGACTGCTGGGAAGCCATTCGTCGAATGAAAACGAGACATCTCACCAACCTGTCCTCACGAATACCTATCTGCAGTCATTGCGTCGCATCTTGCGCCTGCTCCGCCTGCGCTCGTATGTACATTTGGGTACATACTCGTGAATTGATCTTCAAGATGTCGGATTAAACCGTTTTTCAAGATGGATAGTACGGAAAACCATCTTCAAGGTGTCGGCGCCTGCATGTAATCTACACGACAGCGCCGCTCTGAACGAGGTGTTCGAGCTTGACAGCGACTCACTCGGAGCAAGCATTCGACTCGCGGATAACCCACGAGCGTTATCACCACAGGCTGTGGTTGCGTGGTTCCCGCTCACAGCTGCTAAAAAAAAGTAGTACACCCCTCCCATACCCCTTCGATTCCTACTTTACCTCCACACTCAACAAAGACAAGTGAACTAGGGAACCAGGGTGTTTGCAAGTACGTAGCTCCTAGAGCGTCACGGACAAGTAGCGTAGCTTCCGGAAACTATTGACGAAACCTGAGGCTCGTTTTGTGGAAAGAAGGAAACCTGTATTTTTTGTTCTCTGTCATCCGAGTACACACGACTTCGACAAATCTGATCGACCCGCCCCGCCCTTTCCAAGCCCGTTGCACCACATCAGACCGATGCGCACCGAGGCAATTCATCTTCTCACGCGCACCGTATAGGATGCCCGCATGCGTGGTCTGTGGGACTCGTGGGCTGCGCCATGATAGTCGTTCACCTGCTCTTGGAACTTTGCTTTCGTCAACGTCACGAGAAAAAGCACTCTCCTAGGCCCTGTTCGATAGCACCTGGGCCTTCCAGGATGCAACCATTTGGAATGGCCCAGTCGCCCAAATGGTTTAGGGTCGCGACAAACTGCAAGTGGGGCCTCAGGGCCGGCAGTGTAACCATAGACCGCCCCAGCGCCGGCTTGTTTCACCGAACTCAACCGTGCAGGGTGTCGAAAAGCTCCACCCCAACGGCCCATTGAAGCGGACGAGGGTTCCCCCAAAGTTGACAGGTGAAGGCGAAAAGAACCGAAAAAAAAAAAAACAAAATACCGCTGGATGTAGGGGGAAAAAAAAAAAAAAAACCAACCACGTAGAGCATCTCTGCAAGGAAACCCTAATTCGCGAAACACACTTCCTACTTTGAATAGGTTATGGTGTATGTCGCTAAGGCACTGGACTCCACAAATCGCGACGAGCAGGATACTGGAATAGACTGAAGTAGTACGAAGCTGCGAAACGTGCAAGTCTCGAGAATCAAAAGGCTCAGATTCGGCCGGGCATGCTCTGTTTTTCTTTACCCTAATTTTGGGCAGTTAGAGAAAGGGAAACCGCTAGATTAGACTATCCCTAAATAGCCCATTGGTCTGGCAGTGTGGCGATTTAGTTGAAAAGCAACTTTGGCAATGGTCCGACAATAGTCTGGTGTTTTACCAGGGAGGGGCTGTAATCATTAGGCGGCAGTTTTTGTTCTTGCGCGCTGTGGTGTCAAAGTACCTCGTCAAGATTCCCGCCAACTTTTAGCAGATGGGCGGGAAACCGTGGAGATCGCAGGGGGGTCGTTCGCGCTGGCGGGAATTATGCACCATCGCATGAGGTCGCAAACCGTTTCCCGCCCAAGGAACAAGGTCACCTCAATGTTTTCTGGCATGGGTCACCCTCGCTATCGAACAGGGCTTGGATCTTGGCAATCTCCCTGAATGGTTCCGTTACTGGTACGGGATCATTTCCGCTTCAGGTCGAGCTATACGTTATGTGTTATCAAACAGAGTAAAAAAAAACGGTCATCTTCTCCTTTTACACAACTTGATCTTTCCATGCACAAATGTCAACCATAAGCCAGAGAAATGCCAATGGGAGTTAAGAAAGGTCTGAATGAATAACAAAGGCTAAACACACATCCAACAACTATTGTATTAGCTACCACAACTAGTAAGGGTTGTTGTGTTTAAGCCAAAGTCAACTTGGCAGCTGTTTTTGTGTAGCATTTGTGCTTATGAGGATCCCTTTGATCGGTGCATGAGCTCCAGGTTGGCGTCAAACAAGGCCTGGGAAATTAGCCGTTGCTCCCAAGCCATCCTTTCGCGTTCGGCCCGAAGCTGCTGCTCAGCAACCTTCATCTGCTTCTCCATGTCCATAAGCTGCAGAGTGTAAGGGAATTAAGAAGGAGCTTCTTAGTTGCTGAGGAACCTATGGGATGAATGAATGTGAGCAGAAAGCATAGGGTTGGGTGTGATGTATACGCAGCAGCATTTGGAGAGGGGTAGTGGAAGACAGTGGAGTGGACGCACAGCTTTTAAAAGAGGGGAAGCGGATGGGGGGTGGGAGGGTTGGCAATGGTGAAAATATAGGAAAGGCAGCAGAGTGTGCGGAGACAACCCATGTAGTGTACTACAGCACTGGTAGGTTCAGTGCTCACCTGATTCTCCATAGCCTGAAGCTGCTTCTGGCTCTCCTGCAGCTGCTCCTTCTCCCTTTGAATCCTCTGCTCCATCTCCTGCTGCCTTTGCTCCAGGCCATCCACCTGAAAGAACAAGGGAAGCAGAGGAGAGCGCACGACAAGGCAATTTGAGTGGCTTTGTGATGGCGCCTCGGAAATCACTCCGCACATCTTTGCTGCTCCATCTGCTGCTGCCTCTGCAAAACTACACTGGAGTACACAAGAGAGCGAGAAGATGCAAAACAGACCTTTCTTGTGCATTTCTTTGCTGGTCAGATGCCCGTTCCTTGCTCTCACCTTCTGCTTGAGCGTCTGATTCTCCTCCTGCACGGCTGCTTGGATTTTGGCAATCAGTTTCATAAGAACTTTAAGAATATGATACATGTGTCCCGTGTTCTCACCTTCTGCTTGAGAGTCTGATTTTCCTCCTGCACGGCTGCTTGGAATTTGCCAATCTCCCTCTCCATCCTCTCCTCCCTCCTTGCCTCCCTCTCGGCATACTCCTGCTTCACCCTCCTCTTCTCGGCCTCCACTGCAACCACCACCTCTTCCTCTCGCCTCCTCATCTCCCTCTCCCTCTCCCTCACCTCCTCTCCCATCCTCCTCACCTCGTCACTCAACCTCCTCACTTCCTCTCCCTTCCTGTCTATCTCACCCTCACACTCCCGCACCGCCTTCCCCCTCTCCTCCTCCACCTCCACCACCCTCCCTTCCAACTCCCTCACTCGCTCTCCCAGCTGCTCCTTCTCCCTCACAACCCCTTCCCTCTGCTCGTCCAACTGCCCCTTCACCTCCAAAAGCTCATTCACTTGTCCAGTCAGAGCCAAAACACGCTCTCTCTCCTTTTTCATCTGCCCCTCCAGTCCCTCCACGAGCCCATTCAGCCTCCCCACTTGCCCCTCCCTCTCTGCTACCTCTCCCCTCAGCCTCCCCTCCAGCTCCTTCCACGCAGCTTCCTTCTCCCTCATCTCCGCATCCCATCGCTGCTCCACCCGTGTCCAATCCTCCTGCAAGCCTCTCATCTCCTCCTCCTTCCCCTGCATCTGCTGCTGCATCTCCTGCTGCTCCTGCTGTGCCTCCTGCAGCCGTGATTCAAACTTCTCCTTCTCTCCTTTCATCTCCTGCAGGCGACTTTCCAGCTCCACCTGTCGCACTTGTAGTCGCAGCAGGGAAGCCTCTAGCTCTGATCGCTCCACCTTCATCGAACTCACCTCCTCCTCTCCTGCCTTCCGCTCCCCCTCCAGTTCCTCCACTGCCCCTTCCAACCTCCTCACAACACCCTCCTTCTCTTCCAGTGCATGCTTCAGCTGCTGCACAGTGCTCCTACCCTCCAGCACCAACGCCTCAAGCTCGCAGTTAGCACCCTCCTTCTCCTCCAATTTCTGCTCTAGCTGCTGCACAGTCCCTTCCAGCCTCCTCACAGCACCCTCCCTCTCCTCTAAAGCATGATTCAGCTGCTGCACAGTGCTCCTACTCTCCTCCACCAACGCCTTAAGCTCGCAGTTAGCACCCTCCCTTTCCTCCAACGTCTGCTCTAGCTGCTGCACAGCGCCCTCTAACCTCCTCACAGCGCCCTCCCTCTCCTCCAACGTCTCCTTCAGCTGCTGAACAGCACTTCTACTCTCCTCCACCAAGGCCTCAAGCTCGCAATTAGCGCCCTCCAATTTCTGCTCCAGCTGCTGCACTGTGCCCTCCAAAGCCCTCACAGCACCCTCCCGCTCCTCCAGTGCATTCTCTAGCTGCGCCACAGTGCTCCTACTCTCGCTCAGCAATGCTTTGAGCTCGCAATTAGCGCCCTCTCTCTCCTTCACTGTCTGCTCTAGCTGCTGCACAGTTCCCTCCAACCTCCTCACAGCACCCTCCCTCTCCTCCAGCGCATTCTCTAGCTGCAGCACAGTGCTCCTGCTCTCGCTCAACGAGTCTTTGAGCTCGCAGTTAGCACTCTCAACTGACTCCTTCTCGCTTCTCAGACCTTGCACCACGTCTTCCAAAATGGCCTTCTCTCCCTCCAAAACGGCCTTCTCTCCCTCCAAAACGGCCTTCTCTCCCTCCAAAACGGCCTTCTCTCCTTCCAAATCGGCTCGCCTCTCCTCCAGAGCACGAGCCTTGTCTTGCAGCTCTGCCCTCTCCGCTTCCACGCCCACCTTCTCCTCCTGCACTGCACTGAACTCCCCTTGCAGCGAATCAAACTCTCCCTGTAACGAGTCATGCTCCCCTTGTAACGAATCAAGCTGTCCTCGAAGCGCTGTCCATTCCCCTTGCAGCCGTCCCACTGTCCCCTCCAGCACCCCCTTCTCTGCCTGCAAGCACCCAATCTGCTCCACAAGAACAGCCCTCTCAGCTTCAACCTCCCCTTGCTTCACCTTCAGCCCATCCCTCTCAGCCTCTACTGCTTCCTTCTCCCTCACCAGCTCCTCCTTTTCGCCCATTAGCGCCTCCTTCACTGACTGCAAGCACCTGATCTGCTCCACAAGTCCCGCCCTCTCGACCTCCATCTCCCGTATCTGTACCTTCATACGACCCCTCTCAGCTTCCGAAGCTGCCTTCTCCTCCACCAACTCCTCCCTCTCGACCATCAGCACATCCTTCTCTCTGTTCAAATCCTCGATCTGCTCTATCAAGCGAATCCTCTCACCTTCAAGCTCCCTGTGCTTCACCATCAGCTCTTCCCTCTCAACCTCCAGTTCCCCCATCTGTACTTTCAGCCCATCCCTCTCAGCCTCAAGCTCCCCTACCTTCACCTGCATCCCATCCCTCTCAGCTTCCACTGTTGACTTCCATTCCACCAACTCTGCCTTTTCAACCAGCAACGCCTCCTTTTCTCCCCTCAAACCTGCAACCTGCCCCATCAAACCAGCCTTCGCACCTTCCAGCTCCCTGTGCTGCACAATCAAAGCTTCCTTTTCACCCATCAGCGCCTCCTTCTCCCCATTCAAACCTGCATTTTTTTCCACCAGACGAGCCCTCTCGGCTTCCAATTCCCCCACCTTGACCGTCAGCCCATCCCTTTCACCTGCCAGGGCTACCACCCTCTCCTCCAAATCACCCTTCTCCTGCTGAAGCACCTCCCGCTCCTCGAGTAGTCCGTCCTTATCCTTCTCCAGCCCAGCCTTATCAGCAAGCAGACCCTCCCTCTCAGCCAGCACACTCTCTCTTTCAGCAAGCAAACTCTCCCTCTCTCCCTCCAACTGCTCCTTACCCGCACTCAAAACCTCATTCTCAGAGTTCACCCGCTCGATTTCTCCCTCCATCTCAGCCGCACCAGCCAGCAGCAACACTCGCTCTTCCTCCAAAGCCCCCTTCGCTGCAGCCAAAGCTGCTCCTTCGGTTCTCAGCTGCTCGATTTCTGCCTTCATTTCAGCCGCACCAGCCAGCAGCACCACCCGCTCCTCCTCCAGAGCCCCCTTCGCTGCAGCCAAAGCTGCACCCTCCGCCCTCCACTGGCCAATTTCCTTCTCCAACTCGCCGATACCTGCTTCCATCTGCTCCCTCTCCGCTTCAAATTGCCCCACCTTTGTCTGCGCCTGCCCCAGGGCTCCCTCCAGCCCCTTCTTAGCCGCATCTAGGGCCTCATTCTCAGACTTCAACTGGCCAATTTCTCTCTCGCATTCGCCGATACCTGCCTGCAGCTGCTCCCTCTCGGCTTCAAGTTGATTCGTCTCTGCCTGCGCCTGTCCCAGTGCTTGCTGCAGCGCCTCCCTCTCTGCTTCAACCTCTCCCTTCTCTGACAGAGCCTGTGCCAATTCGCCCTTCAGCCGCTCCCTCTCTCCTAGCACCTCCTCGTTCCGCCTCTCCACCTCCCTCTTCTCCTCCTCCAACCCATCTCTGACCGCTTCCAGCCCACTCACAGCCTCCTTAAGTACACACACTTCATTCTTCAGCTCCTCATTACTCCTCTCCACCTCCGCCTTTTCCCCCTCCAACCGCGCCACCAGCGCCCGCAGCTCCTCCCTCTCCCCCTTCAGCTCCGCACACTCCGCCTCAGCTTCCGCCTTCCCACACTCCGCCTCCCCTTTCTCCTTCTCCAACCTCCCCACAGCAGCCTTCAGCTGCGCATTCACCCCCAAAAGCCTCTCCCTCTCCCCCACCAACCTCCCCCTCTCCCTCTCCATCCCCTCCCTCTCCGCCTCCCACTCCGCCTCCCCTTCCGCCCTCTCCGCCTCTACCGCCGCCTTCTCCCCCTCCAGCCGAGCCACTGCTGCTTTCAGCTGCCCGTTGGCCGTCCTAAGCTGCCCGACACTCGCTTCTAACTGCACGTTGCCTCCCATAAGCTGCCCGTTCGCCTGCTCTAACTCCACATTAATATCCCTCAGGCTCCTCACCATCTCTTCCAATGCCACCTTCTGCCCCTGCAGCTGGGATGCCGCTGCTCTCAGCTGCGCGTTTGACTCCTCTGAACCCCTCACTTCCTCCTCCAAACCCCTCACTTTCTCCTCCAAACCCCTCACTTTCTCCTCCGAACCTCTCACCTTCTCCTCCAGACCCGCCCGTTCCTTCACCCACCCGTCCCTCTCCCGCCCAAACTCCCTCCTCACGCCCTCCAGCTCCCGTTTCAACCCATCCCTCTCTCCCAGAACCGCATCCAACCGCGCATTCACACTATCCAGCTTCCCACGCGCCTCAGTCAAGTCCCTCACTACTCTCTGGTGCCTAGCCGCCGCTTCCTTAATCAGACCATCCATCTCCTCTCTCAGACCCTCCTCTCTCTTCTCTGCTTCCTCTGCCCGACCCAGCCAGGCTTGCCCCTGCACCTCCGCCTCTTCCTTTGCTGCCTCTGCAGCTCGTAAAGCACCTGCTGCTGACTCCTCCTGCTGCCGCTGCACCAGCAGCAGCTGCTGCTCCTTCTCCGCCCAATGCTCGTGCTTGGATTGCATCTTACGCTTCATTTCTGACCTCTCTTCTTCCAAGCTAGCAACGCTCCCTTCGAGTTCTGTCACCCTCCCCTCAAACGTTAATCTCGTCACCTCCCATGCCGCCTCCTTCTCAGCCCATCGCTGCTCCGTCACTGCCAGCTCCTGATCCCTCTCTACCAGCTCATTCCTCACTGCTGCCAGCTTAGCTTCAGCAGTCTCCACGTCAGCCTGAGCTGCCGCCAGATTCTGCTGCACAGCTGCCATCTGTTCATCCATCACCCCCGCCTTCTCCACCCACTGCTGCTCCTTTGCTGTCATACCTCCCTTCACCGCACACAACTCCTCCTCCGCTGCTGCAAGGGCTTCACCCAGAACGCCCTCCCTGCAAGTCCAAGCCTGCTCCTTCTCCTGCCAGCATGCAATCGTCTGCTCCTTCGCTGCCAGGTCTCGCTTTACCAGGCACAGCTCTTGCTCCGCTGCTGCTATCGCCTGCTGCTTCTCTACCAGATCTCCCTTCACCACACACAGCTCTGCCTCCACGGCAGCAAGAGCCTCTCCCAAGATACCCTCCCTGCGCGTCCAAGCATTCTCCTTCGCCGCCAGGTCTCCCTTTACCAGGCACAACTCTTGCTCCGCTGCTGCTATCGCCTGCTGCTTCTCTGCCACATCTCCCTTCACCACACACAGCTCCGCCTCCACGGCAGCAAGAGCCTCACCCAGAATTCCCTCCCTACAATGCCACGCCTGCTCCTTCTCCTGCCACTCTTGCTCCTTCGCCAGCCACTTCCCTTCCTTACCTTCCCACTCCCTCCTCTGCTGCACACTCTCCTGTTGCACCGTTTCTAACATCCCCTGAAGCTCCCTCATCCGCCTTTCCTGCACTTCCTGCTCCTTCTTCCATTCCTCTTCCTTCTCTCCCCACTCTTCCCGCTCTGCCGCCCGCTCCTTCTCCAGCGAATCAATGGCTGCGATCAGCTCCTGCTTCTCGCGCTCTAGAGCATCAACGGCCCTCGTCAGCTCCTCCCTCTCCTGCCTCACGTCTCCAACCTCCTCCTCCACAGCAGCCTTCTCCGCCTTAACACACTCCAACGCGGTCTCCATCTCCCCCAGCCGCACCCTCTGCTGCTGCTCCAGCACCTCCCACTCCTGCTCCCTCGCCCTCCACTCATTCCCCTTTATCGCCCACTCCTGCTGCTCCCCCGCGTAAGCCCGCTTCACAGCAGCCAACTCTTCAGTCAGAAGCATAGCCTGCGCAGACAGCTCCTCATGCTTAGCTGCGAGCTCCCCCTTCTCTTCCGCCCACTGCAGCTGCTCCTCCGCATATGTCTGTTTCACAGAAGCCAACTCTTCAGTCAGAATCAAAGCCTGAGCAGACACCTCCTCTCCCTTGCCGACCAGCTCCCTCCTCTCAGCCTCCCACTGCTCCTCCTTCCGCCCCCACTGCTCCACCAGAGAGGCTACTCGTCCTTGCTCCTGCCTCTCCTTCTCTGCCCACGCCTGCTGCTCGGCTGCTCGCGCTTCCCTCAACCCAGTGATCTCCTCATCCAAGCACCTCACACGAGCAGCCATCTGCGCCTCACAGCCCGCCCACTGCTGCTCCTTCCGCGTCCATTCCTCTACCTCAGACGCCCACCTGCACTGCTTCTCCGCCCACGCCTGCTGCTCCGCTGCTTGTGCCACTTTCAGCCCAGTGATCTCCTCATCCAAGCTGCCCACCTGAGCTGCCATCTGCGCCTCACAGCCCGCCCACTGCTGCTTCTTTTGCTCCCACTCCTGCATCGCCTGCTGTGCTGCCTGCTGCTCCGCCTCCGCCTGCTTCCGCACCCTCTCCAGCTCCTGCTCCATCCGCTGTCCCTCGTCCCGCAGAGCAACCACCACTCCTTCAAGTCTCCTCCTCTCCTGCTCCACTTCCTCCCTCTCCATCTCCACCTCCTCTCGCTCCTGCTCCGCCTCTTTCTTAGCCTGCAGAAGCTCCTGCTTCTCCTGCTCTACCCCGGACAGGCTCGCTTCAAGCCATGCCACGTGCTCCCTCTGCTCATCTGCTTCCTTCGCCCATTCTCGCTCCTTTGCTGCCCACGTCAGCTGCTCCTTGATCCACGTCAGCTTCTCCCCAACCCACTCCTTCTCCCTGCCCGCCCACTCCTCCTCCCTCGCCCTCCTCTCCTCCTCCCACTCCCTCTCGGCCTCACTCCTCTCAAAACCGCAACCAGCCAGGTCCAACCGCGCTGAAACGAGCTGCACCGCTGCCTCTTGCGCCTCTCCGTTCCAAGCCTCCTGCTGCTTCTCCCAGGCCCTCTCCATCCTCTCGCACTCCCTAAACTTAACGTTCAACTCGCGTGTAGCTTCTTCCAGCTTGCGCTCCTTGCGCTCAACCTCCGTTTTAACCACAGCGAGTTCTGCTTGTAGCGAGGACAGCCACTGCTTGGACAGCTTCTCTGACTCTGCCATGCTCCTCTCCAGGCGGGAAACCTCCGCCCTGTAACACAAATCAGCACGGGAAGCACGAAAAGAGTCATAACTGAGACCTCTTAAGAGTGTCTCTCCAGGCGGGAGACCTCCGCCCTGCAACGCAAATCAATAGGGGACGCACAAAAAAAGTCACTTCTGAGAACTTTCAAAGGTCCTTCCAAGCGGGAAACCTCTGCCACGAAAAGAGGCAAGCTTGAGTCACCCTGTCACAAGTCAGTCATCAGTCTGTCACTTTTCAGTCAGCTGTCAGTTGTTCCTTCGCCCCTCAAAACACATAAGCAGCCCTGAAGAGCACATACCAAGCACTCAGCTCGTCAGTTCCTCACCTGGTGGACGAGAGGTCCGCGGCGAGCAGGGCTTTCTCCTTCTCCCCCTCCAGCCGAGCTCCCTCGGCTGCCATCAGCTGCGCCGCCCGCTGCTCCCTCTCCACCAGCAGAGCCTCCGCCTGCGGAACAACGAAGAAACGAGGGAGGAAGAAATGTTTTTAAGGCGTCTCAAAGAAAATTCTTGCTACCACCAGCTGCGCCACCAGCAGCACCCAAAAGACCCACACAGCTTCCGTTACAGGAATACACAAAACTCACGTCAACACAAACAGCAGCAGCGGCATCTTCCTGACCCTGGTCCCTCACCTCTGCCTTTTGCTCTTCCTTCGCCTGCAGCAGCTGCCTCCGCACCTCCGCAGCCTCCGCCCCCGCCTTTCCCCCCGCCTCCTCCGCCCGCGCCAGGTCCCTCCGCAGCCCCGCAACCATCTCACCCAGCCGCGCGCACTCCACCCTCCCCGCGTCCCTCTCGCGCAGCGCCGCGCGCACCTTCGACTGCAGGCTGCTGATCACCCTCCCCGTCTCCTCGTTCTGTCCGTACAACACACTCCCCACACTCCCCGTTGTGCTCACACTCCCAGCCCCTCCCAGACTCTCCTTTCCTGCCGTCATACTCAGCCTTCCCCACTCCCCTGGTGTGTCTATATGGTACCCAGCTTGTTCACCCCTAGCCGCCGCGGCTGGGGACGGGGCGGGGACGGGGGTGGAGGCGGAGGCGGAGTGTCGAAGATCGGCCACGTTCATGCCTTCACACTGCTGTTGAGGCACCTTAGAGGCTGTTTCCGCAGAAGATGTTTCGTCACACGTGGTTCTGATGCCTTCAAACTCCTGATACGCCTCCTTCATCGCCTGCAGCTGCTGATTCACTTGCTCCTCCTTCCACTTCTCCTCACCCTCCTCATCCTCCTCCTCCTCATCCTCCTCAGCCTCCTCTTCCGCCTCGTCCGCCTCTGCTTCCTCTTCCCCGTTGCTCTCACTGTCGCCATCGTCTCTATCTTCCTTCTGAAGGGGGAAACAAGCGGGACAATGCAGCAAAGACGTTCTGTGTCGTTGTAAGCGTTATATACACAACGAGAAGTGGCTAATAGCTACGTCAAGGTTGGAATGTTAGACACCCGCAGACGCCTCTCTGATTGAATTTAGAGAAAACCGTAGCTACTCGCTTGCAAAGTGCGAACTACATTGACCATCACCATGGTTTATAGAACCGACTACCGTGCTCTCACAGAAAGCAAAACGCAACTTACTTCTTCTCACCACGCAACCTCATGTCGCCCTCTTGACCTGTGCATCTGGGCGTCCTCTGCTTCGTTGAATATGCCTCTAAGAAGTCACTATATTCATTTTAAGATAAGATTCCCAACTCCCGTGCCCTCACCGTGAGGGAAGCCACGAGCTCTTCAAGAGTCGTCTTCTTGACCTCCAGCACCTTGGCTCTCGTCCTCTGCTTCGTTGAAAATCCCACTAAGAATTTTCACAACCAGTTTTAACTTAGGAACCCCAGCTCCCTTGCTCTCACCGTGAGGGAAGCGACGAGCTCTTCAAGTGTCGTCTTCATGACCTCTGCCACCTTGGCCCTCGTCCTCTGCTCCTTTGAAATCATTCACAGGAGTTCCCAAATGCATCTCCAACATAAGAACCCCAATTTCCGTCCCCTGCTCTCACCGTGAGGGAAGCCACCAGCTCTTCAAGTGTCGTCTTCTTGACCTCTGCCACCTTGGCTCTCGTCCTCTGCTCCTCCGCCTCTCGCTGCATCTCCTCCGCCTTGCCTCTCCACCTCTCCACCTCCCTCTTCAGGTTCTGCCCAGGGAAGGACACAGCAACACGCGAAGAACAGGGAGGAGGAAAAGATGTTGTGAATAGCACGTGTTACCAGCACAGCAATACCGCTTGACTTTCTGCTGCATATCCAAGCAGGCCGACAGCCTGCTGCTTCAAGGAAAACCATGCCTGCTTAAGTCGGCTCAAGAAGGACCATACCTACACGCTGTGGTGAGACTCACCTGCAGCTGCTTCTCCATGTGCGGCAGGCGCGGCGGCTGCTGCACCTCCAGGCGAGCCAGCTCCTGCTTCGGGAGGAGCTGGAGGTGCACGCCTGCTTCAGACCGCTTGCTTGCCAAAGACGGTACCCATACCCAGTGGAAGGAGGAAACGCATACCCGGCGATGAGGCTCACCTGCAGCTGCTTCTCCATGTGCGGCAGGCGTCGCTGCTGCACCTCCAGGCGAGCCAGCTCCTGCCTCGCCTCGCCCAGCTCCCTCTCCGCCGCCTCCCACTTGCGCCTCCACGAAGCAGCCTGGAAAGGGATCACGGGATGGGAGTTCGGTGGAAGTTGTAGCCCGTGTGTGGGAATTCAGGAGTCGTTGATCCAAGCACCGAATAGCAGTCGCGTCTTGATCCTCTTGTTGCTCAAGTTCGGAACAGCCAAATATTGCTCAAAACTCGTGCCTGCTCCTGCTCAGGCTCAGCCAAGTTATTGCCCTATACCTGCTCCAGCTTGTTCTGGCACTCCTTCAGCTTCTCCTTCGTCTCCTCCTCGCGCCACTTCGCCTCCTCCACCTGTCGCTTCAGTCCCGCCGTCTCCCGCCTTAGCGCCTGCACCTGTTCCTGCAACTGCTGCTCCCTCTGCAGTCGCCGCCATCCGTCTCCGTCCTTCCCCTCCGCCACAGCCAAGGCGTTCTGCGGGTTGAGTGGGAAGGGAAACAAAAAACGCATGCAGGGGCACATTCAGGCGCTTCAGTTTCCGCGTGCATCTGCTCCTGCACCGACTGCTACTCTGTGAACGCCAGCCTCTGTCTACTTCAATGAGGCGAGGCAGCCTGCGAGATGCGTGGAAGGCACACATGCTTTCTTGACGCGCAAGGCATGCGAGGACCTGGCAGGAGACTTGAAACATTTCGAAGGTTAATGTATCAGTTTCGTTTCAGGTCAACATGACAAACGTAACCAGCGGCGCGTCGTCGTTTTAAGCAATAGCAAGGAGATCGCCATGGGATGAATCATGAAATAACAAGGATGCACCAACTTGCCATGCTGTGATCATGCCAATGACACGGAGCCTCAAAGCGAAAGGAACCTCGAGTTGTGAGACGGCTCAAAACGCGAAATACCCCAGAAATCTGAAAGATTTCCCAAAAGTAGATCATGGCGAAATAACGTTGCTTTTCCGTGCGAACGCACCTCGAGCTGCTTCCGTCGGTTGACCTCCGCGTCCCTGGCAGCCATCGCCTCCTCCAGCTCCATCTCCTTCTCCTCGTACTCCTCCAGTAACCGCTCGTGCACAGCCTGCAATAGAAAATATGGAGCACAAATAAAAAAAATAGAGGTGATAAATCAAACACGCACACACACACACACACCAGCGGAAAAAAAAAAAAAAAAAGATCATTGTGTTCCATATATAAGAACGTTCAGATGATATTGCTTATCGCCTTTCCGACTGCCGGCTGTCATCATTCAAGAATATAAGGACGTTAAGGAACAACCATAGGCATTCATAGACACATTGAATGAACGGGACGTAAAGTTGGTACCTCGAGATCTCGTTTCTCCTCGAAGATCGCCTTGGCCGCTCGTTGCGCTTCATCCCGCTCCTCCATCAGCTGGAGCACCTCCTTCCTCTGCACCGCCGGCGACTGGCGCACCTTCGTCCCGCCTCGCGCTCCCGTGAACGGCGTCCCGCCTCGCGCTCCCGTGAACGGCGTTCCGTAGCTCCCGTGGTGAACCGCGCTGCCGGGATGGAATTTGTGATTCGTGGTTTCACGAAGCGACGATGCGAACGCGGACGGTCGGTAGTGAATGTCGCTGTTCGTCTCGCGCTTGCTCAGCGGGGTGTGGATTTCCGACACGGACTGAAGGAAGGCGTTGCTGCCATAGTTGTTGTGGCTGCTGTTGCTGAAGTTGTTGTTCATGGTGTTGAAGGTGGAATCGTCTCTATTCTCCGGTTCGCAGTGGTTCTCGTCGGTGGTGGATGAGGGTTCCACCATGGCTGCGTCGCGTCAAGCTTCAGTATAATACCTTGCTTCAGAAGCACGCAGCAGACCGCCAGTGACGGACGCAAGCTGCGTCTCGCTTTACGTCAAACTCCCAAATGCCTTGCTTCCGAAGAACGCAGCAGTCCGCCAGTGACGGACCCTGAACTCTAACTGCTAAGGACGATGCAATCAAGGAGTTTGGCGATAACGTGAGAAGACCCGTTTCTTGACCTGGGATAAGGTATTAATGACGTGAGGCGACGGTTCCTTTCCTGATAGCAGTTAAACCGTTATATATTTCAGCAGAGTTCAATCCCAATGCTCCGTCTAAAAAAGCCTAACTTCCCTAGCGAGGAAGCTCAAGTCAAAAACTTCTCTGTGTCGAGCTTGACTGTATAAGGAACCGCGGATGTAAACTACGGTAGCATCAGACTACAAGCTAATACGCTGATCTGAACACAATAGGAAACACGAAGCACTCACACTCACCGCAACGCTCAGCTTCTGCCTGCACTATGCCCGCTCACATTCACATTCTGAGCTCCAAAATCTGGATACTACTGTACTGCAACAAGAATCCATGAAATCCAGTGCAGAACGGTTCTTGGGCTAGAGGATTCATTGCTGAAACCAGAGCATTCAGAAATCCAGCTTGAAAGTACCCAGCATTCTTTGCTCAAGCCACAGCTTTCAAGGCTGAGGCTCAGCTTTGGGAATACCCAGGACTCAGAATTCAGGCTTGACAGACAGGATCCAGGGTCGATGTTCAAAATGAGCATCCGAACCAGGAATGTGCAGTCTAGATTTGACACGAGTCTAGTTTGGAGGGGGAAATTCTGGCCAGCGCGTCGGTCTCAGCTTGTCAGGCTTTCAGAGTTTGAAATTTACCGCCAAGTTCTGAGCAGAATTTGCTAGTGCAAACTCCATGTCAGGCTGACAAACTCAACTTGATGAGTGTGGATGATACAGTGTACACTGGAATGGAAAAAACAAGATGTTATCCTTATTTGAGCTGTCTTTAGTTTATACACAAAGAGGGGCATTTTTTCATTGAATCAATCTGTCCGTTGCACCTCATGCAGAATATGAAACTGATACTTGGTGAAATCACTATAGACGAATTGTAATCAGAGGCAATATGAAAATATTAAGGCAGGCAACTTTATTACTAAGTCTAAGTCAATTAGTACTAGATAAAGAAGCATGCTATACTACACGTTCCACATGACTGCATGCATCCCCATGAAACTCTCAAAACAGGTTTGCAGCGCCAGACAGACTCAGCTGCTGCTTTCCTCTCACAATCCTTCCACAAAGAAAACGTCAGCGTCTGTTGCTCTGTGCTCCCTATCATTATTGAAATCCGATTGAATTTTGCCTAGCTCAGCTGAGTGGAGTGGACTGGAATATCCACTTGGAGGCTGAATGATTCGCGCTGAATGTGAACGGATCCTCTCCGCGATCCCAATACTGTCAGTCTGGTGGCCTCCATACGCGCCTGAGAGGCGATCTCTACCAATGTATACTCCTCATCGTCACTGTCAAGAGACAGGGCTTCATCACGGCAACTGACATACTCTTGAAAAACAGAACTGCGCTCGATAGAAGCAGCCTGCGTAGTTCCAGAACTCCCGCAGGCTTGACTTGAAGGCTTTGGTGTAGGCAATATCGGCTTTGAAGGACGATGAATCTCCCCAGGAGCGATGGTAGCCGCGAATGGGGAGACGAGAGGGGAAGCGAAGGGGGACACGAGCGGGGACAGAAAGGCAGACGATGATGTGGCAGTTCCGTGATTCACGGAACCGGTTGAGCATGACTTAGGGAAGCGCGACCGTGCAGCGGCGCTGCTGAGGGACGGCGTTTTCACGGCGAAGGAATAGTGAGCCATGGCTGTTTGTCGAGGAAGAAGCTCTTCAGCTCAGAGTCGCAAGAGGCGTCTCGAGTGCGAGTCTCCGGGATACGTCAAAGTAGAGAAGATTGGTGTGAGCAGAGTGATTTGGAGAGCATTAGCACGTGGGTTATATACGCCGGGAGTGGCTGTCGAAACACATCGTGAGCTGTGACGCAAGGGACGCCATGAAGCGCTAAGCTGGGCGCCGTTTCCGAAGGCATTGATCCCCGTCCTATCATCAGTCCTGGTTCGGGCAACTATGCGGATAAGCGGATACTAATCGGATTTGTGACGTTTGAGATAGGAATCAGATTTGGTAACAAAATAGAAAGCTTCAAGAACTCTTGCTATCCAAACAGCAACCCAGGTTGGCCTGAGGTTTGCCTGAGTCTCATACCAGTTGAACTAAGCGATGTTTAGAGTGGTTGCGAAAACAATGAATGAGTTACAGTACGGTACGATATGTAAGCTTGGCAGTAATTCGTCGTGCCGATCATGTGGTTTGGGAGGTAAAGTGGCCCACATGTGGGTTGGTTGAGTGGGAGGGAGCTTCGCGAGCATGAATGCAGCATTTACTGCAGAGTCTCGGGGGCAATGCGCCCACTGGTTTGGTTCGTTGGGATTGGACAAGTGCAAGCATCTGAATGAGACCTTGAACCACTGTGCAAGCAATTGAGACCTTTGAGAGATTTTGGAGCAGCTAGGGTTCAGAAGTGCTTGTGAGATCTCGACTGGAAAGCCGAAGAATGTCTGGGCTGCAGGAAAACATCAAATTATCTGTCCTCTGCCCGCGGGCACAGAAACTACATTTCTGTGGTCCCTCTATGAGAGATGTGGATGTTGTAGTACAGCATCTTTCTATGTTGCCTCTGACGTTGACTTTTAGGCAGCTCAGAGACGACCAATAAAAATTTCCTTCAGGAGAAAAAAAGAAGCATCCGCCACCACTCGAACTTCTGCTGGGAACTACTGTAGTACCTCTTCCGGAAACCAGGAACCTGCACGTTTCTGGCAGGAAGCTCTTCGGTTGGGTGTAGGGTTTTGAGGTGCTCGTTTGAACCTTAAAAGCTGCTCCTTGGTTAAGTGTGATACAAAGTCGGGGTAATTAAGATAAGGGGTATTAGAGGAAGGTAGAAATGGTGGAACAAAGACAGGGTGATGCGGAGAGAAGAGCTGGAGAAGAAGAGAAGGGCCAAAGGAAAGGTGGAAAGAGGAAAAGAAGAGAGGAAGAAACTAAAGGAAGGAAACACCTAAGGACCAAAACACCACAGCAACCCGCATCACAGCGCGGGACACAGCCTTTACAGCACAATCGCTTAACGCCTATACATATGCATCGTACATATACTGCATGTCTGCCACGCTCTCAAATCAGCCGGTAATGTGATGCCAACTGCCCTGCCCTGCACCCAAAGGGACTGGTGCGGGCATCCACCCATCGTCTGACCCTCCCAACTGCTGCACCGCGTGCTGTATAATACTCTGAGCCTGCGCTCGCTGCAGTGCCACGGAAAGTCGTGTAGTGAGTCCGGTTTCGAAAATCCGGGCTGACCCATCATCCCCCCCCCCCCCAAGTCTTTACGCCGCTGTGCAATCCGCCGCGCAAAAAGCCCTATAAACTGTTAGAATCTAACAGCAGGAACGAGTGCATTGAACAGAGATGTGGGTACATATGCTAACCCTAATTTGGGTTGTACCCCTTATGGGCTACCCCACAACAATCTACACAGCACAAGCATTATCATAGTTTGACACACCCCCATAGGCAAAGTGGGGGAGAGCAAGGGGTCACAAGACCAGTCAAGAGAAGCAAAGCAAGCTCAGGGTGGATCACAACGTCACCACACACACTGAGCACAAGCAAAGGGCCACAAGGCCAGTTCACATGCAGAGGTATATATGCAACAACAGCATCACAATGATCTCTACCTAGCAAAGCAAGCAAGCAGGTATATATATAGATCACAGTACAAACAAGGTCTACAGCAAGTGAGGAAAAGTGGGCACAAGGCCTAACAAAGTACAGAAACGCTGATGATCACCAGACGGAAGTGCCTTGGTGAATACATCAGCAGTGTTGGCCCGAGTGGCCACGTGAGCAAGACGAAGTTGACCTCGCTGCTGCAACTCTCGAGCGAGGAAGTAACGCAGAGCGATGTGCTTCGTTCTGTGCTCCAGTCTGTGCTCATGACACAAGGCAATGGCGGCCTTGTTGTCTACGTACAGCACTGGAGGAGAACGAGGCCGCTCTCCCAGGTCGGTCAGCAGGTAGGTGAGCCAGCGTAGCTCCTGTGCAGCCATGGCTGTGGCGTAGATCTCAGCCTCACAACTGAAGCCGAGAACAGAAGACGAGCGTGTAGACCGCCAAGAAACAGAGCCAGAGCCAAGGCTGAAGGTGTAACCCTGTGACGACCGCTGTGTAGCCAGGTCGTCAACCTAAGAAGCGTCCGAGTGCCCAGTGAGGACAACTGGGCTCCGCCCTCCAAGCATGAGCCCCATGCCCGATGTACTGCACAAGTAGCGCAATACCCTCTTAGCAACAGCCATGTGCTCCGGTCGGTGCCTACCAGGAGCCACGTAGCGAGCGAGAAGGCAAATAAGGTACGCAAGGTCAGGACGAGTGCAGGTCATCAGGTACATGAGGCAGCCCACTAGCTCTGGCTAAGGACCACTCGGCTCTACGGACTCGTCCGAAGGTGGACCTGAGAGCGAGTGACCTGTAGCCAGAGGAGTGTGTTGTGGCAAGGACCAGGTGAAGCCGAAGCGCTGAAGGACCTGCTGCACCATGTGTGACTGAGTCAGTGTGATGGTGCGGCGTGCTCTGTCCCGGGTGATCTGCAAGCCAAGGTAGCTGCGCAGCTCACCCAGGTCTGTGCACGTGTGTCTCTTCTGCAGCTCCGACTTCACCAGGGCGAGAGCCTCAGTGTCCGCAGTGGCAAAGACCAAGTCGTCGACGTACACGAGGATGTAGAACGGCGGCAACAAAGTGTCGGTGCGCAGAAACAACGACGGGTCAGCAGTAGAAGGCGCGAACCCAAGAGCCGCAAGTGTCGTCCTCAGTGTGTCGTGCCACTCATGTGGCGCCTGGCGGAGACCGTAGACCGGCCGCCGGAGGCTCCAC